GAAACTGCTTTGTAAGCTATGAGCGGGTAGGTGAGTTTGTATTAAATCTTTGACTAATTTTAACTCAATCACGAAAGGGTTTACGACAAAATGTTATTTACAAATTTAATTGCTTTGGATTAGTTCTGTTACCAGTTAAAATTAATGTACTTTTTTCTGTAACAGGCTGTATACAGATATTTTGTGCTTAAATTTGACTGTATCTATATACAGATAATAGATACCCAAATATGTATCTAGATACTTTATCTAGATAATGCCCAACACTGGTTAGAAATGTAGGACAAAGAACGAAATTATTAATCAAAGAAAACCAACAGTTGACGACAATAGATAATGCCATTAATGACGCTTATTTGGGAATAAAAGTGGAGGTTGAAGAAAGAAAATAATATGACTGGAGAAGAAGCCCTAACAACTCTCTGATGAGCATAAGAATTTCACAACTAGTATTATTTTATCACAAATCCTGAATCCTTTTTTATTTTTATTTCAATACCATAAAGTGTTACAAAATAAATAAAAAGATTTAGATACAATTTTTTATTCTCTACAATTTTTGCATTTAATGTTTAGCTCTAAAATAATTTTGGAGAATCAATATTTTAAAGTTTCTGTTTTTTACATGTAAAATCCCTGTGTTACGTGTTAAATATACTTTCACGGGAATTTTGCAGGCACGTAGCGCCGTTTACAAGTTTACAAGGATCATAATGCGAAAAGCCGGCTTGGCACTGTCAATCCTAATTGTGTCATAAAATTTTATTACTATGTATTTTTTTCAGTAATTCTACTTATATTATTTTATACAACTCAGTAGTCTAAGAACTGTTCGCAAATATTTTTCTAAATACTTATATTATTACTTTTATTTAATTCCTGTAAATATCCAAATATGTACAAGGAACATTGGACGACAAGAAAATAATTATGGCATTGCGCCGGTATTGGTCAGGTTTGTTCTTAAAAATCAAATAAATTGCTGTATTTCTCTTTTATACAGAAATATTTCTAATTAAAATGTACTACTACTTTTAATAGTAAAAAATATTTAAACGTTGTTAGTAATTTCGATTATTAGTGCATTATTCAAATTAGGTATCTAGTGGTGCGGTATACAGGGTAATATCGACAAGCACTGCCGCCTCGCACCCCTCTGTCAAACGAAGAAATGTGCCGCGCTACCCAGGCCGTTACGGTCGCAAACTCGTGGTTAGAAATCACGGCGATAAATAAGCTGACGGCGTCACGTCACCCGACCGTCCCTATTCTAAATCTAGCAGCTCGACAAGGAACCGCGCACTCCGTTTCCGCCACGTGTTTCTGTGTTATTTAACCTCAATTCCATTTAAATGTGTTCAATTTCTATAACTCTGACATTAAACTACAACTGAACAAGTGCCAAACTTAAAAAAAAAGCAATAAACAACATTTAAATTCCCTACACTCTCGTGAAATTTTGAACAGCAAAGAATTCTTATCTGATATTAAGATTGGACATCAGACAATTTATATGATAGAAGCATTAATCAACAAAATATTTACATCGTCAAAAAAAACTGGCAAAGATTTATAAAAACAAAAAGATCTGATGTCGACTGAAACTTGAGCATACAAAAAAAAATTACGGGAGGTTAGAAATTGCAGGACATGAAAATTTACGTTCAATTTAAATTATACAACAAAGAAAATTTCTGAGGCTAAAATTATGAGATACAGAATTATTGTATGAGGTGAAGAATGGCAAAGCTAACAATTTTACATAAGATTAATATTTTGTGTCCATTCGAGTTATTGTTTAAATTTAAAAAAAAGTGAAGTTATTCAGCTGGTTCAAAATGACGTCGGACGAGTGCGTTGTTAAAAAAATGCGTCAAAAATATGTTTCCCAGAAGTGCGATCAGTTTTGTTGCGCTGTGCAAATAATGGTCTAAATCAAAGGAACAATGTTGTTAATTTGTTCAACGATATTTTACAGTTCAAACATGTGCTCGGTTTGAAAACACGTTCCGCTGCCAGAACAAATAATTTACCTGATGTTAAATTATGCCACACTTTATCAACGATTCAAACAAAGAATTTACGTGATGTGAAATTATGCCTTGATCCAAGCGCTTGGTTACTTAAAACATTGAGATTTTATATCGTGCTCTGTCCCCACGTTATCCCAAACAAAACACATGATAAATAAACAACACAAAATGTATCCGGCGTTGCGAGAAAGCCTTCTCGGTGATGTAATTTTCAACGTTGCGAGAAATATGCGTCTCGGTAATATTGCTTTTCATGTTGCGAGAAAAATATCTCGTTATATAATAATGATAACGATGATAATAATTGCCTAAAGGGAAAAATTTATATTCCCCCGTACCTCAGTGTACGATAGTATGAATTCTACTGTACTTTCACGGTCCCAGAGACGGATAACATTAGATTAATTTTAACTGCCGTAAATGAACTATTAGCAATCTTGTGCGAAAAATTAAGAAGTGATACATTATAACACTTAAGTATAAGCATCCAGAAACTTATTCATAACTAGATAAACAAAGAATGAGCCCTTACTAAGTGAATTTCTTGAAATCTGCTAGCAAGTACCTTTATTTCAACAAACTTATGACTGTTACATTGTGTTGGAACCACTTAACGATTAAAATCCTAACATGAATTGTGAATTTAAAAACAATGAATCAAATTTACACCACATGTTAGCGTCGGTCGAAAATTCACTTATTTCCGTTTGGGAAAACCACAAGAATTAACTACGCGTGTTGGGGAAACTGTGCCGTCATCGTCGTTACGATTAATTTTCGTTAAACAAAGGCTCCCCATTTTTATTAACTACCAAACCAACTAACCTTAACCTAGCTAACTCATCACGTGGTTACACTCACAATAAACATACCAAAAGTGTACCCTCTACAAAGAAAGCACACCTCTCACTACCAACCCTCTAACTAAAATTCCCTAGCAGAACTACCCACTATCAGAAAAACAACGGGACGTGCACATGGTTGCCTATGTTTAACGATTTCCTTAATTGAATTTTTTTCAAATTCAAATTATTCAAATGCGATTTCGCGCCGTTGTTATTTTTTTTCAGCCCGAAATTTCAAATTCAGTCACCACAGTATTAAACATTACATAAGTATGTGTTTTCTTTTTTTACATCGAAAACACCAAGAAAACGTTTAAATGTCGCATTTTTTTGAGTATTCCAAACAGCTTGATTGTCTCGCGATTTTAAAATTGACTCTTTTCGCGAAAAGGAGACGATTATGTATATTTTCCACGTTCTGGCCTTTGTAGCTTCAAGGAATTAGTTTACAAATTTCAGAAATGCAACTTTTAACTTTTTTTTATATATAATTTGTTGCGATTCCACTTTACGGGTTTAAAAATATTAACAATAAACTATTTAAAAATTTATGTGGATATGAACTTTTTGTTGAAATTTATAAGTTCTGAGCTATTTTTATTATTGTTTTGAGCATTCTGAACGCCTTGATGCACTTGTGATAAGCAAAACCGACCCTTTTCGGGAAGAGGAGACGATTGGCTGTAGTTTCCATATCTGCCATTTGTACTTTCCAGGAATTTCTTCGAAAACTTTAGAAATAAAACTTTTAGTAGTTGTCCCCACTAAAAATATAGAGAACATTATCAGAAACTTATACCTGTGAAAATAAAAAACGATCATGATACTTATTACTCGTAGAAATTATTTAGAGCTGCGCCAGCCACTTGATTAGCCTTACAAAAACCTTCAACTAGTAAGGACAAAAAATCAATCTGATGTCATCAGTGATAACGATCTGAGAGTTCAATTCAATCAAAATTTATATTTCTTATTGTGATGGTACTGATGATGGTGATTGGTTGTGACGAAGACAACATAAATCGTTTGATTGTAAACAAATACGTGTTGGTACAATATAATCAAGAAAACTGTGTAGCATGTTTGCAGCAAAATGTTGCAGCTGGATGATAAAGGAGCTGAGATCTACAAATCAATGGTAAAAGCGGGATATGATTGGAAGTATTTAGCCCGGTAGAGATGACGTATTATTGTATTATTTTAAAAAAGATATGAAAAGTTATATAGCTACTAAAACTAGTAAACAAAGGAGGAATTTTCATTGTTCCTAAATTACTCTCTTATGCTTCATAAATATTATTTTAAGACTTTTTTGTTAAGTACATATAACTATGACAATGTGACCATTACTAATGTATATGACGACAATACATATTGTTGTGAAGTATTTTTATCTACAAAATAATATTTGACTGCGACAAATGATCCATATTGCAAAGAGTTTAGATCACAATAGTTTTTAAAATGACTGTAGTACTCTAGGACAACTTTAAGTTCATCGCGTGGTGGAATTTGGTTCCAGCAGCTTTATATCTTCGTATATTTGCAAAAATAGTAAAAATATTAAACGCCTCTTTCAGTTAGGACTACATATTAAAATAAACATAAACATGGAAAAGCACGCATGAATAATGAAAAAAAGGAAAAAACAGCCTGGTACCAGCATGAGGAAATGTAATTTAAACGACACATCTGGTTGTGGACTACGATTATTAGTTATACTTGTTAGCAAGGACAATTTCGATGAACTCTAGCTTTGGAGATGAAGGTAGAATTACTCTGGCATTCCATGGAAACGTTATCTAAATTGGAGTAGTATTACATGACATTTGTCTGGTTGCGACGTATCGGATTCCATTGAAACGTGAATAATACGTCTGTTCAGAGTGTTTTGAAACAATACCGTCGCAAACCAGCGAACTGGTATCGAGAAGTTCCAGTGAAAAAAAAAAGGCTAGGTTGTAAAGCAAATACTGGGGATGGAATCATTTAGGGAGTCACAGCTGGATTATGAAGCTCAGAGAGACACTAGGCACCAAAAAACTTGATTGAAGTTAGCTCTGCTATCACGTGCCTTATATTAATTTGTCTGATCGGTGCTTTTCAGAAACAAAACAAACAGTTAATATTTAGTGTTTATATTTAAATATTTGATTTACAATCAGTCTCAATTTCACATTTAACATTTTTTAACAATGATGTCAATCGTTTATTAGTGCAATATATTTGTTATAAACAACAATTAATGTTAAAATGCGTTAATATACTTGAAATTAATAGACCCCAAATAAAAAAAAAATGAGTTAACAAAAAAAAAAAAAACTAAAATATTATGTACACATAACAATTATTATATTCGTTAAAATATTGCTTACAATAGTTTTATAAAATAAATAACAAACTAAAACACACAACAAGGAACTAATTTAGAGACTGGCTCTAACTAAAACGCTATTACAAAAATAAGCAACCAAAACATACTTGCAAATTTGGTCAACCTATATCACGCACTTGAAATACAATTATTTAACACATAGATTTTTCATCACACATCAACATTGTTTACATGAATAGAAGAACGCTTATCAAGAAAATTAACAGCTTACTCTAAGCACGCACGCTGTTAGAGGGTTTTTAAGGAAGACAAAGATATTTTTCTTTTCTAGATTTTTTATTTCTTTTTTATTTACCTATCTAGAAGCAACACGAATTTCTATCTTCATTGAGATTCTTACAGCGTACGTGCATACACATTAAACAAAGAAAAGAAAGATGGAAAATAAGACTGTCTTAGATAAACTAATTCATCCCGGGGACTAGTTGAATAATTTATCATGGCATTTAAATAAATCGAATTTCATAACGAGACAACCAATAATGAGTATGAGTTGGAGTATTAAAATTTCGTTGCAGCCAGAAGGGTATCCATTTTTGTATTCAGCAGATTGACAGATTGATCCTGCAATATAGACCAACCTTTGGGGTCTGCATACGTTGATTGTCGATGAATGAAAACCAATTAGGCCACTGGAGGTAATTGAAATGTGGTATGATGGAGGCGATGATGGGGGTTTGGGAATGCTCAAAGCAGAAATCGGACAATAAGCAATTATGATGCGTATGGGACGTCTGCTGAATACGACTTTAGTTGAGTCATAGTAGGAGTAATTCGGTACAATCAAGATTAGGTAATTGCTGTGACAGAATTGCAGAAGCTGCGATAAGCAGATATTGCACGCGTGGTTGTGGAGTGTTCGGGGGTTGTCGACTCGGATATCACAGAGGGTGCGACGGTGAGCGGTCGAGCATGTAGCGATGACGGATGTGTGGATAAAAAAGAGCTGCCCGGCCGCCCGTCTCTGGTCACCTGGTGGCCAGTTCGTCCTGGATGTGTATCTGAAACATAAAGGTAAATATTTTAGTAAAAAATGATATAAGGTTGTATGTATCAAGTGATTTACTTATATATGTATAACAAGCTTACAAATTTTGAGTGAATGGTTAGTTTTACAACTTTTACATGAAGTAAATTTTTTTATGTAGAAACATGTGGTAGCTATCAAGCAATCAAAAGGAAACGATGTGATCCAACTAAAACCTCTCATGACGATGTAATTTTATATGATCACGAGTTTTAAAAGAAAATAAAGCTTTTAATTTGTTTTATCGGTCTATTATTTTGATACTTTGGCATCAAAATATAATGTATGTAAAAATAAAAAAAAAACTAATTAAAACTATGGTACAAACTAAGATACTTCAGCTACCAAAAACACCTAAAATATATGTAAATATTATATCGCGAGTAGTTGTTTAAGTAAATTATCATTACTCAGATAGCACTAGTTTGTCGCTAAAATTTAGTCCAGTCAATTTGCCGTCAATGTAAAATTCAGGTTTCGAGACTGAAGGTAACATCTTGAAAATAAGGATGCAATAATTTTTTTATTTTTCTTCGTAACCGTGATGAGTGAAGGTCATTTTTGTAGATAATACAGATTAATAACGTTAATAGTAAAAAAGTTGTGACGAAATAACTGTTAAATTTTCAATTCTACAAAAAGATTTCTGCTCGGTTTTTTAGAGAACTTTTCCATAAACTTATTTATATATCTAGAAATTCCAAAATATTAAACCAAACAAATCTGTTGTGTACAAAACCTAATTCCAAACCTCTCCTCAGTAAATTTTCGCAATTAGTATTCAAATACAGCAAGATTAAAAATCAAACACAGTGACAGAAAACTAGAATATCAAACTTTCTAGAAAACGTCAAGACATGCAATTGAACACTTCTTTCACCGAAAACAAAGAAAGATCTCTTGTATTTTTTTTTATGCTTTATTCGTTGTTACGCGGTTAAACATTATTCGTCAATGGGATAATGAGCCGCCTTACTTCTCGTCCCTTTTCCATTCCCTAAGTCTTCCCCGTTGCTTACATAAATTTTAATTAATTGGATGATTTACGTTTTTTCATAACTACGGCTTCACCTTCCCACACAAGTTGATAACACTGTACAATCCAATAATAAATCCACCTTCTTTTTTGAGGATTGAAAATACAAGAGTTATTTCACCATAAAGTTTTTTATCACGTAGTTTTAAAAATTGTTCACTCATAACTTTTGTGTTGGTGATTCTGAATTATTGGCAACAATGTTAACATGTCAACTTTGACAGCAGCGCGCATAACAAAAATGACAAAAAAATCACAATCATTAATAGTTACCCGGTACAATAACTAAGTTTTACAGTTACAGTCAACCCCTTCACGAAAAATAAATAAAATTTAAATGACATTTACTAATCAAAAATTTTAGAGGACGTCATCAAATTGTTGGTGAGGATGATTAGCCAAATTTTGGTTAGGGTTTTACAATCTATACGGTATTTCTAAAATAGATATAAAATTTGACAACAATCGAGTCCGGTAGCTTCGGAAATTATCTGTCTAATAAAAATCGACACAAGCAGACGAAAAGCGACAGACAGACTGAAATGGGGCACCTATTTTTTCGTACTGCAGGGATCACGGAATGCCGAGAAAACCTAAAAGTAGCCTGTTGCGCGTGGACCCGATTACAATATTTCCTTGGCTTACGCTCGAGAAGTAAAAACGTTGCTTACCAAAATGCATGGTTTCCTATGGGATGGGCTGCACTAATTAGCGAAAATATAAAATCTATTTGGGTCGCTGAAACAGTTTGTAGTAAAAATTCTCAGGAACTTGAAATCATTATTTATTTTATTAAACGGAAATTTTCATATGTTCTCACTATACATATCGTATTTCTTAAATTGCCACGCATTCTGTTCCTATTATCCTATTAAAGCTGATACATTTTTCAGCAATAATGCCTGAAATTAAAACTAAAAGAGCTCAGTGGAGTGAAAAATGTCCTGAACAAGCCTTAGGAGCAATTAAAAATGGAACAAATGTATCTTGAGTCCTTAAGACAATACATGACCCTTAGAATTACGATACATTGGGACTTCATTTTAGAAAAAGAATTGCAAACAAGCGTCTCGATCGATAGACAGTCTACACTAAATAGAGAAAAAAGATCTACTGTACAGTATAATACACAGATTAGCCGATATAGGAGTGCCAGTGATTCCAAAATTACTGAGGACAAGTATATTCATCTACCAATTTAAAAAAAGGCTAATTCATTTACCAACATTTTGGAAGTGGCTGGGCAAAAATCGTTTAAACTATGTACGTACTAAGAAACGTCCACATGTTTCTTATCGTCGTTTTTAGAAATAATTGAACCCAGCAAGAGCGCAAAAAGTAAACCATTAAATCGTTTCATTGTTAATGACTACTTTACTAAATTGAAAACTTATCTTGACAAGATCAGAATTGTTTGATAGACGTGAGAACATTTACAATATGGATGAAAAAGGTTGCGGTTCAGCACTGCATCACCAGCATGTAAGCTGATAATTACAATCAGGATATAAAATTATAATGACTAATTTTTTGTTAATTGATTAGCTTGATCATTTCGCTAAATATAAAAATTTTGGACCTACACTTCTGATGTTTGATGGTACTACATCTCACTTCGATAGTATAATTGTGTACCCCAATGACAAGCATTGAAGCACTCTATTGTGTTTCGAGTAACACCATTGCAAACTGCTGTCTTTTACCAAAATTGTGTTTAAGAGCTTCGAAAGTTGCTGAGACGAAGGCGTTTTAAATTTTCTACCCCTAAATCCTTAAAAAACTTAACGAACTTGAGATTTGGCTATTTTTGAAGGTTCAAGACAGTGTCATCATCAACCAATCCCATTTCAGGCTTTAGGACTTACTAGTATATCCTTCGGACTACGAAATCATACATAACGCAGCTTTTGCACCACGTTTGATAACTAAAAAATCTAATATTTTCGATGAATACTGTAATGATTCTTCAGTTTTAATACAAATATAACGTTTGTGTGGAGATTGACGGAGTGTTTGACAATAGAAAATCTGGTCCTATTGGTTGTAGGAAAACAAAATGGTAGGTATGAATTTCCTTCAAACGGCGTCTCATCTGATCACAGTGTTCGCGATGAATCTTTTGGTGTTGAACTGTGTCATGACAGTAATAACACTGATAACTTCGACGTACTTGTAAATGAACCAGAACTAATCAATTCAAAGATAAAAGCCACGCGTTATAAAAATAAAGTCATAATAAAGAAAATCGGGAAAAAACAAATACGTAATGGTGAAGACTGTGAAAACCAATTTCGTTCTCCTTCCGAAGTCTCTAAAGTTTTCTATACAACTACTCCTGAAAAATACGAAAATGCTGTAAGTACTGCAAGTTGTAGTTTTTTTTACGCTAGAAACTGAAATTAAACTTCAAATTATTCATGATTAAATAAACCGACTTTCAATTTTCTTACTTCTTGAGCGTAAGCTAACGAAGTTTAGCAATCGAGTCCATCGGACGAATGACCACTTTTATGTTTTCTCGACGTTTCATGACCCCAAGAGTACGAAAAAGTTGCCGTCTGTTTGTCTGTCTGGCGTCTGTATCCATTTTTATTACATTCTGAAATTACCGGACCGATTATTGCCAAATTTTGTATGTATATTCGGAATTTCATATAGATGGTTAAATATTAACCAAAATTTGTCTAATCATCCCCACCAAAAACGTGATGCCAACCCCTCAAAATTTTTAACAACGGCAATAAATTTATAAAATTGTCCAAAAATCATCACTGATAAGTTAATAACATTTTCTTTTTATTTGAAGAATGAAGTCTTTAAAGTTAATTTGCCAAAAATTTTTAAACTTTAAAAAAGCAATAGTGGACTTCGATACCTTGTATATTTTTGTGTCTGATTAATGCACTAGATTTGTTAATTTTCCATTTATTTGACACAACTGTCTATGTACGCATAGTGAATCCAGAAAAAAATGGTTCGGTCGGAGGAGAAGCGGGTGTAGTTGCAATTTTTTTTTTTAATTTGCCCCCGCTTTCGTACGACACGTGTTGTGGTGCACAGTAAATACTTATTGGGCTTAAGTTTTAATCAACGTTAACTTGTAGTTTTAGTTCTATTATTCTGAAAATACAACAGCTTACACCACGTGTGTCATTAGCATTCCTACTCATTAGAAATTATGTCGTTCCTTCGTTCCATCTATTTCAGCCGAAAGCAGAGCCGACAGCTCAAAGTGAACAGATTTATCGGTTTACGTTTAACGCCGATTATTTGGAGTAAAAAAAAATCATTTTGAAGGGTGGTGATTTTTGTGCATTCCAAATTATACATGTGTTATATATACTTTATTCATGCAAAACTTATCGATTACCTATACAAAAATTTGATGGTACCACGGTTCGGTTTAAAAAAAAATCATGATTCTTAATCACTGAATTGATAAAAGTTCACCTTTTCGAGCTCGATTAAGCTGCCTTTTAAATTATTTCGATTTGCATGATATTTGATCATGTGTGTAACAAACGATTTGCATGATGTTTAGGTAACATTCAGTAATTGACAGTTGCGGTGGATGCGGTAGGCATCGATTTTGGTCGGCTCATTAAGTGAAAAAAAAAATAACGTACCCATAGTAGAGTACAAACGTAATGAATAGAGATGCATATAATGAATGTAATTTTATTACCAAGTAATTCATTAAAATTTTATTAATCACATGTGGTTTTCCTCATTAGCATCACATTTCATGTAAAAGATTAAATAAACCCTAAGGAGTATCAGTCATTTTAGCCACAGTTGTTACGATAACGATGAACACTTATTTTTGGCAAAGAAACCAAAAGAGATAAAGTAAAAAAAATGAAGGTTTAATAAAGAACTGTAGTTACAAATGAAGAAATTATCTATTAGTGAAAATATTAATGGAACCAGCTTATGTT